ATACATCAAAATATCATAATATTTTGATCATCACAACATATAGTTAATTATATTTAAAATTAATTTGATAAATTAATTTATCCACAATCATTTTTATCTCTTGTTAATTTAAATAAACCTAGAATTATCAAAATAGGTCTTGAAAACTTTCAACTTTTACAAACTCGTCAAAACCCTCAAATGCTCAAGAAAAATTATAAAAGAAAAAAATGATAAATAAATCTCCATGAAATGGGCAAATGATAAAATAATATCAAGAAATAAGATAATTATTATGAAGTCTCTAGCTACTTATCTATTTTTTTTTTTGTAAAATTAAATTTACTTCCCTAAAAAAAATCAAAAGCATTGTTTTTAAAATCTAAATTAAAGTTGTTAAGGATTAAGGTTGTTAAAATAAAAAAATATAGTTACTATTGCATGATTTAATATTTTAATTGTAGTTATGATAAATTGTGTTGTTAATATTTAAAATTAAATTAGTATATAATAACTGATGGAAATGCTTGGGAATCAAACACACACACACACACATTAATGGGCTTGTTGACTGGGAAACTTTTCCACTAGGACTGCCACTCCGTACATTGCAACTAACGCTTGGAGTATTAGGAGGCAGCGGCGGCGGCATAGGGCCGTCGGGCGCAGGCATGAACTCCGATGATAGCCATGGTGGGCTTAGACTCGTGGATGCTTATTCCACTCTTGCGTCTATTCCCTCCTCTTCTCATGCTTGTCTATGATTCAACTTTGGTGGGGTTGAATCTCTCTGATCTCTCTTTGCAGAATGAATATTCATGAGAGTCTGTCAATTAACTAGAGATATGATCATCTCTGTTAATTAACTAGTTTACTTTGTAAACTCTGGTGGGGAGGATCAGGATTCGGGAGGGAGGGGAGGAGGGTGAGAGGTAAAGAGAAGATTGAAGAAAGCAGGAGGAAGAGGGAAAGGGAGAGGGACGATGAATATATGGTCATTTTGGTAATTGAACATAACAATATAATTTACATTAAAGGATCTTGGGACTTGATATATATTTTAGCATTTCATGGACTTTCCTGTATTTTCTTTTTTTTATGAGACTTTACAATAATTCTCCCAAAAAAAGTTAATGATGGTAATAAATAAAATATGGTCAGTTCTTGGGAACTCATCTGAGGTGGCAAAGGATGGCACCAATACTGTTAGAAGAAGCTGACATGGCATCCAACTAAGCTCCAAGTCAAATTTATAGAAAGGGAAAAAAGAAAGAAAACACGGGAAAAAAACGCACAGCTGCAGAATCTACTTCGTCAGGCATCGCCTCTTCAAACCTGCTTTACCACTCTCGTCTTAGCCAACATTAAGGAGGAAAGTGATTCATCGGATTGTGGCTTGTGGGCTTCTAAGGCTCAAGGTCAAGGGAAACATCTTAAAGAAATAATAACTCTAGTTATCAAAGTAGCATTTGAGAGAAAATGATAAACCCCACTGCCTCCAGTGGCTATACGCAATGAACTTTCGAACTCAGCCCATCTCTGTGATTCTATTGATCACGTTTCTTTCTTTTCTTTCATCGCACACGACTCCGGAACAACGACATAGCTATGCGTTTTTTCCCCTGTTTTCTTTCTTTTTGCCAGGATTTTATTATTTTTTTTTTACCAACAGAGGATTTTATTAATTACCAGGTTTAACTTTTTAAATGGTAGAAACTTCAAGGAGTGAATGGGAACGAATCAAATTTCAAAGACTAAATTATAACTGAGATAAAATTACAAAGGCTGAATCATAATGAGTCAAATTTTAAAGATTAAATTATAATTAAATTAAAATTATAGAAACTAAATAAATAATTTTCCTCTCATTTTTTTATCAAGGCATCATGTTTCTGAATGTAGGCCCCGACTAATCTAGATGGGGACTCATAAGTTTTACCATCAAAGAGATTTTTAACTAAACTAATACAATTTTCTTATCAGTTGAAACAAATAGAGACGAACCAGAGTTTGGATTATCGGGGCAAAATCTGGGTTGCTGACCATAGGCATATGCATCACCTAAATCCCAAAAAATGAACAAGTAGTAAATGATTCAAATTCCTTTCCAGTTTATTTTGTTATGGGCACATCCAGATTAATTAAAAAAAAATGTATGAGGATATTTGATGCATATCTATCTAGTATGGGTATCTCACTACTAATTTTAAGTATAGGTACAACATTGAAAGAAAGTAAGGCATGTAGGTATCAGTAATGCGCAAATGTATATTCATCAATCCAATTTACTTGTTCACAATAGAAAAGGAAAAAACATTCAAGGGTATATCCTCGTCAGAAATATTTTATTTTTATTCACAGTGTTATTGGAATTAAAAAGGGAGAATTTTATTGTTAAAGAGGAATAGGTTGATGTTATTTCAGTTCGCTACTTGTTCGCGCAACCGGCAATCTCATTGCCTGCCCATCAGGATTCATACAGTTCCATATCCTATCTTTTGGAAAGGCGGGGTCATTTAAGAATTACTGAAAATATTTAACATCAAATAAATATCAGAGATTCTAAAATATCACAATAAAATCAGGAATTAATTTAAAAATAATTTTAAAAGATAAAAATACTTTACTTTAATACCCTTGCTTCTCCCTCCCCCTTTTTTTAAAATAAAAACTCTCCACCGTTGCTAGTGTCAGCCACCAAATTATCTTTGACTAATTGCCGGATAGTGTTAAAATATAATTTACATTTTTTCCTTCTCACAACTAAACTTTATTTAATTTTTAAACTTATTAATTAAGAAATAATTTTATATTAAATGCATATAAGTAATTGTTAATTAGTGAATGAAATTTTATTAAATGCATATAAATCCTTATTAATTAATGAATAAAAACTTATTTAAACAAACATATGATTGGAAAACTTAAAAATTTAGAAGACAATTAAATTTTGCCATACCCAGGCTCATGTCTTGATTACTATGACCTTTTGGTGGGCAATGTGTCTTAGGTTCGAACCTTCCCTAAACCATTAAAAGAACTTAATTGGTTGTCGGCGTTAGGGCTTTGATGATTGTTTAGCAAAAGGTCATCAACGACGGATGGGTTTTGGCTAACTGCTGTTCAGTGAGCGACAACAGTGCAGAATATTTTTTGAAAAAAGAAAAATAAGAATATTATAATATTTTTTATCTAAAATTATTTTTAAATTAATTCATTATGTATTTTTAATTTTTATTTATATTAAATATTCTTAACAGTTGGGAAAAAGAAAATTTGACGGGACTACACACAAGGTGGGATCCGCTATTCTAAAAGTCAGCTGATCGGATCACTTATTGGTTGGTGTTTTATTCTTTGACATCACATTGATGGGTACTTGACATTGACAATTGCTGTCTTACCAATTTCTCTCCGTTGCAAGTTTTCGGTTTCATCCAACTTGAGGAAATTGAACCTTTATTGATAAGCGATGCCCTCATTTCCTCTCTCATCTCTCTTCTTTCATAGTTTCAGTCTTCATATCAATCCTTGCTGTTGCGGGCCCTTTCTTATGGTGTGTTTGGATTAGTTTTTAATTGAGGTTGAAATGAGCTAACTGAGGTTGAGATATAAAAAAGCTAAAAAAATTAATTGGATAAGTAAAATATTCTAACCTCAGTTAAGGTTAGAATGAGTTTTTTTTCCAAAGCCACCAGACCTGGTTTCTGCATTAATGTTAGCATCAACATTGCTCGTATAGCTGCACTCATGTCTTGGTCTCTACTTTCTCCATCCTTCACATAGTTACACTCAGTCTCTCTCTCGCATAGACAAACATTGCACTCTCGATCTCTCTCTTGCTTAGTTCTCATGTTGTCAACTGTTGCCCAACTCGCTTGCCATTACCCCTCGCCCAACTCAAACTCTCCATTCTAACTTCCTTCTTCACCACTTGAATCACTTTAATGGTGATCGACGATGAGAGAAAGACAAAAATCAAAAGCCTTCTGTGCCATCTCTGCCTTCTTTCTCGTTTTTAACCGGCAACCATGACAATGTCAGAATCCTCCCATTCCTTCTCTATCCGAGCAACTGTAGGTGTTCGTGTAGTGTGTGTGTTCTCCGATCTGCTCTGTTTGCTCTTCCATGCGTTCTTTGATCTTTCTCCATGTAGTTGTGCATGTTCAGGACTCTGTTTGAAGTTGCGCATGCTCTTCCTTGTTATGCTCTGTTTTGCCACTCCATGTGTTCTCCAATCTTCCCTGCTCTTCTCAATCTTTGCCCGATCTTTGCACTTTCAATTTCTCTCTCATGGAGTCATGGTTGTTGCTCACAACATGATTCAGGCTCACCAAACCAGTCACCCTCACGACCTCACCCCTCGACCTCGACCTTCTTCTTCTTCTTTGAGTTCAAGTACTTTCTCTCACTCTCGCTTAGGATCATAAACTCATGGCTCACCAGTGGCAGTCACCCTCACCCCTTGACCTTCCCTTCTTCTTCTACCTAGCTTTCTCATCTTCCACGATGTGCGTTGCTGTCGTCCCTTCCCCTTTGCGTTGCTTCTCTCTCTTCATTATCTCCATTGCACTCTCGGTCTCTCTCTCACGAAGTCACGGTCTCTCTCTTCATTATCTCCATCTTCAACAAAATTTTTTAGTTTTTCATAATTAAATATTTTGATTTTTTATTAGATAATATTATATAATTAGAATTGATTTTTTATTATATATTTTTTAAAAAATTAAGATTTTTTAGTTATTAATTATAATTTTAAGTTTAATATTTTTTTACTTTTTAATTAGTAACAAAAAATAAATAAGAAAATTTAGGTTTTTTTTTTATCATTAAACATCTCAACTGACTTTTACCTTAAATCATTTAAACAAATTTCAATTTGTATAACTGACTTTTGAAAAAAAGATATCCAAACATAAATCACGTTACATTCATTGATTTTTTTTGTAACCTCAGTTTGCTAACCTCAGTTGAATCTTAACCTCAGTTGTAAATTTTTTAATTTAAACATACATTTAATTTCTCAATTTCTTTTTTGTACTTTCCTTTGTGTTGCTTGTATTTCCTCTCTGCAATTTATTTTGCTGGCTTTGTGATATTTCTTCGAGAAGAAAATTAAAAAAAAAAAAACAAAGAAAGAAAGAAAGATAATTACTCCGGCCCTCTGCTTTCATTTTGTCAGAGTTGGGCTCGTTTCTTGCCTTGTTGATGTTTTTTTCATGATTGATTTCGCAAGTTCATCATCTTTCAGATCAGTTCATAGTTGTCTGAGATTTGTGTGAAGCATCTGTTTCTTAAAGTTGTCCTGAACACCATAAAAGGATATAGTCTCATGCCTGATCTGTGTTGGAACACTGAGGAAAGCTTATTAATCGCTGGTGGTAGATCTTCAAATTGTTCAAAGATTCACATCTCGATTATTGTAAGGTACGGTTAAAATATATAATTACGCCATGTATGTTATCTGTCAGTGTTTAATTGATCTATTTACTCAGTTCAGTTTTTGTTTCAACTTTTATGTTTGTATTTTTATATATATTTAGTACTACTACTTGATCGTTCCAAGCTTTTACCAGGTGAAAGTTTCAGGATCAATGTTTAGTTTTAGCTTCTGTTCGTACCACTCCCCTCTATTTATATATAGTTACAATTTAATTTCCCTGCTTATGAGTCTGAACTAAATAATTAGCACTTATTTCACCAAAGCACTTAAATTATCTTTCAGTCGTTTTTCATTCCCCCCCACCCTCTGTGGACTGTGATGGACCAATAACCAATTCTTTCGAGTTATTCTGCATGATGATGAGGATAAGACATACACTATTCCAATTAACCAATAATTGGCATTATATAAATATATAAACTGTTATTTTAATATTTGTTAACGTCAAAATATCTCAGATAATGTGAATGCTTATATATTGTTTGATTTTTGATTTAGGAGTTGCTCCCCAAGATGTCGTCAAACCCAGATGATGAGTCCAAACAGCAGATTGGCGATCTAAAAGGTTATGGATCCGAACAGAAGAGTTCATTCGAGTCCGGAAAACGCAAAGCGGCTATTTTTGGTGACTCTGTGAGTATCTATTCGAAGATGGGATTTTTAAAAAAAATATATAATAGATTATTGTTGTTCATTTTGGTCGCAAAACATTTAGTATCCGATCCATATTTGTGGTTTTGATTCATGTTTAAATATATTCTTTTTCTAATAAATAAGTGTTGACAAGTGTTAATCTTAAAATTATACATTAAATAAAAATTAAGAATAGATTGTCCTTCGTTGTTTATCTCCTTAAAACCAAAGTCACCATGTGCCCTTGCATAATTACCTGCCTCCTTACTAACATGACTGACATGACTGTTTAAAGTTTACTCCAATAAAATGTTTTCACTTTGTGGTTTGGATTAGCCCATTCGAGTCATCCAAAGATAATTTCTTAAGATGGGCTTCTGCTTCAACTTGAGATGCATTAGTACTAATAATATTGATAGTATTTCATCAGGATCATTTCTAAAAAAATAATTCTATCTCAAATTTTTTTTAATTTTTATCACATTCTTCTTCCACGTCTCATCAATAATGATACTTGCCCCCATTTCGTATTATTACTTTTTTTGTGTACCAAAGTTTGAAGTCATTAATTTACACAGCATGTTCAACGACCCATTTTGTTGTTTTTTGAAGGCATAAAATATTAATTTTTCTATAATAAATTACAAGTTGATCTACACAAATATTTTCTAGAAGGGTACCTCATTGACAGACGAGTTCTCATGTACTAGAAAATAATTATCCCATTTTTCAATCTAGTTATTATTGTGATTATGTTACACCTACGATGGTTTTTTTTTTTTTTTAAATTTGTATACATAAATCTGACGAGCAGTTAGAGTATTGATGCCTTTGTGATTATTGTTGTTCATTTTGAAGGATGTGATAATTGTCATATTTATAATATATATTAATAAGTTTTATCTTACTTACCATAAAAAAAATATAATTTAATTTATTTTTATTTTAATTTTTTTCAATTCATTTCATTTTTTTTATAACCAAACAATACTTCAATATCCAATCCATATTTGTGGTTTTGGTGGGGTACGTACGTGGGGAATTTTCTTCTTTTACTTTTTTTTTTTTTGTTTTATGTGTGATTGTGTATATGCTAGCTTTTGAGGGTGTCATAAAAGGATTTTGTTCTACAAGTCATCTAATTTGGAAGCTTAGTTTCTTTCATTAATCTTTTCTTTTGTATTTTATCATGGAATTTTTTTTTATTTAAATTATATACTGGGCCAGCTTCTTCTTCTTGTCTTGATCTGCTGTTTTTTTAAAATTCCCCTACGGGCTTTGGCAAAAAAAAAAAAAAAATTCCCCCACGGGCGGCAGATAGTCTCCGGGAGGTCTGTTCTGAGACCACGAAAAGAGGTGTGCTTATCCAAGAGCAAGTTCTCGATAAGCCGCGGCCTCTTCTTACAGTTCATATGGTAGGTTAAGTGACAATTAAGTCCCCTTGTCTACCCAAAAAAAAAAAAAAAAGTAACTCCCCTTTAATCTTAAATAAGTCCATTAAAATTTCATTAAATATGAAGAAGTCTCAGTTTTTCCAATAGGTCGTGATTATATTACACCTACGATGGTTTTTTTTTTTTATTATTTGTAGTTAGAGTATTGATGCTGTTGTGATTATTGTTGTTCGTTTTAATCTAGCTAATATTTGTATAATGTGTTGCATCCTTTGATTGCGAAAAACTGATTGTGTTTAATGTTTTTTCATTCACAAGTTTTTTTTTTTTTTATTTTGGGGTAATAATTCACAAGTTCTTTTCTTTGTTCGGTGGTTGACTTCTATCTGTTATCATATATACTTTCTCTTAGTTTTAATATAGATGGCTTTTAACTATTTTATTATAATAAGTCATTTACATTAATAAAATTATTTAAAATTTCTTTTATTTCCATATTTACCTCTATTGAATATTATAATTTTGTCAAAAATATATTATTTTTCTAATAAATAAAACAAGGACATTTTTGAAAAAATAATTAATGTGTTTCATTTTCGTGCAAAATTGCTTTCATTTTGGATAACAAAACTCTTCGAGAAGGTGAATTACATGGAGGACCCGAAGGAGTGCACGCATGTCGTCTGTGCCAAAAAAAAAAAAAAACTTATTGTTAATATAATTTTTAGTTTTGAATTCATATGATAGGCGTCAATCTAATAAGAAGTGAGATTATTGTTGTTGTTCATTTATCTTAATGTCAAAATACCTGATGTCTTTTTCAATGCATTATTCTTTGGTTGCTAGATTGGGCCAGCGACGAAAAAGATGTCTGAGTCGGCCGAGGATCCCATTCCTGCAATGGGAGAAACTGTAAGTTTGATGAGGATATTTTCGGTCCCATTTCTTTAAAGCCATATATAGAATTAATTTATCCAATGAGAATTGAAATAAATAAATATCTTCACGACTTCACCAATCTAATACGATATGCGAACTTCTAAGAACGGCACTGTTTCTTCATTTTCAACAACATTATGATACTACAAATTTTGGAATGTCTAAATTTATATTTGAGGTGTCCATCTAATAAGAAGTTAGATTATTAGATTTTGTTTGTAACTGTGTCTGTTGGATTTTGAGGTTGAGGGGGTCAAAGGTGTTGTTGCTGTTGATATGTGATACTTTCTTGTTTAACAGCTTCCTGTGCAGGATCTGCTATGTCTGAGGAGGATAAGGGATTTTTTATGCCTCATCTTGAGCTACCCCAAGAAGCCTTACTATGATGATGAAAAGTTTCTAAAGGAATGGATGATCGAAGTTTCATTGTTAAGAGCCCAATATTGTTCGCAGGAAGCGCTCCAACGTCTTGTGTCTGAAAGTCCACTGAAAGATGTGAAAGGGATAATACCAGAGGACATAACAGAACAGATTAAAAATGGGGGTAGCATCATCTTCAACAAAAGCAACTCAAAGGAGCTTGCTAGTGCTACCAGCAAAGACCCACCACCCAATCATGTGCCTCAACCCATTCTTGACTTAGCTACTCGTCTTGCTGTTCACCAACTGGCTCAGATTTTTTCTCCAGAAAGCCGTGGTAACTCATTTTATTGGATGGGAGCTCATGTTGTATGCTTGTCAACGAGAAACGATGCAGAAAAACAAGCTGTCGTGGAAGGCATCAAAGCAAATTTACGGAGCGGTGCGACATTTGAGAGCCACCAAATTGTTCATCTTAGTCAGATGGATAAAATTGATGATGCTTCAATGAGGGGGTATCTATCGACTACTAGTAGAAGAAGCAGAAAGTTGGTGCTTCTAGTGGACGGAGATGGTGACAAAAGAGTAGACCTTCGAAAGGTTCTTAATACTCTTTTAAATAGAAGATATTTTAAAAATGCTGCTGTAATTATAACAACAGGATCATCGGCACTCCAAAATGATGAATTGAATTACAAGGCGGATCTTATAAGAATCAGGACAGAGGATCATGTTCTGCCTTGGGAAGTCTTCTGCAAGAATGTAGGCAGAGAGCTTGTATACTCATCAGGTGCCATCCAGAGGGTTGCAGTGCAGATCGTTGAGGAGTGTGGTGGCCATCTTCATGACATTGTCTATGTAGCAGAGTTGTTGAAAGATGTGGAAGATGTTCAAATCTGGAACCAGACGTTGCAAAAGTTACGGAATTCGATCCTACCATCCTACAGCCGGACTGAATTTAAACGTGTGAGTGATGCCTCCCATCAAATTTATATAATATCTGGGGCATTTTTCACATATTTTTTAAAAAAGTTATCACATTGTTTTATTTATGAAAGAACATAACACCTTTAATTATACTCTTATGAATTAAAAGAAAACAATGAATTACCTTGTCATTTGTACAAATTTTTTCTTAAGTTAAAGAATAAAATTTTAAAATATTTAATTTTTTAATTTGACACCTTATAATTAAGACTATTTTTATATTTGTAAAATATTATATAAATAAAACCAAAGCAATAATAGTAGATGTATTTATCAACATCATCTCCGCGGATATTATTCTTGGAAAAAAAAAAATTCACTTCACACTATGCTTATAATCTTCAAACTATGAGCTAAGATGAGTTCTTAATTAAGATTCTTTTTCAATCAAGTTAAATTTTATGTTTTTTTATTTAGAATTTGCCTTATAAGCAGATCTTGTGATTAACATCTTTATTTTTAAAAAATAAAATTAGCTTATTTTGATTTGATATTGAAAGAATTACTTAATTTATCTCCTAACCAGAAAGTTACTTAATTAAACTTTGAACACAATGTGTATTTTCTTTAAAAAAGGACTATGACAGACATGTTCCACCTCTCTAGATTCTTGAATGTGTGTATGTATGTGTGTGTGTGTGTATATATATATATATGAAAGTAAGAACTTATTTGTTTGAGATTAAAACATAAGTTATTTTTAAATAATTTAAAGATTTTATAAAAAAAGTATTTATTTTAAGGAGATTTTATAAAAAAAAAAAATTATTTTGTGCTTAGTTACAATAATAAAAAAGTGATTATTGGTTAGTTATTTTTAAATTGATGTTTTCCTTTATTTTTGTTTTATAAAAACAATTTATTATTCTATTATTTTAAAGTTGTATGAAATCTTTGCATATTCTGTCTCTTTAAAACTCTTTTTTAATCTAACTCATTAGATTATTTTCATAAGCAACTCAAAGCAGTTTCTTACAATAATGGGTTAAAGGGCAAAAATGTTTTGAAACTTTTTTTGCAGAGCGCATGGCATTTTAAACTCTTTTTTGAGCATTTTTGCTCCACTATTAAAAATTACAAACATTGACTGTTAACTGAAGTTTGACTAAGGGTTAAATGATATATTTGCCTTGTAACTTTTTTTCAGAGGCACTGAATATTTTAAACTTTTGTTCGGAGCTTATTTTCTCTAGAAGTTTCAAAAATAAAGCAATTTTGCCCTGCCGTTAATATATACTGTTACTTTGACTTTTAAAAAAAATTAGAAGAGTCCACCTAAATAGCAAGAACACCTCCATTAACATCAACAACAGCAAGAATAACTCCATGAACAACAAGAGGAGGAGGAGGTTCACAAATCTCAAACATCATTTTTCCTAACTTTGCAATTGAACTCCAATCCATGGTAGAGCATAAGCTTGTTGTTGGAAGAGGAGGAGGAGGAGGAAGAAGAGGACGATGAAGAAGAAGGGAGGGCAAAATTGTTTTATTTTTAAAAGTTCAGGGAAAATAAGCTCCAAACAAAAGTTTAGGGTATTCAGTGCCCTTGGAAAAGAAGTTCCATGACAAATATGTCATTTAACCTTTAGTCAAACTTAAGTTAATGGTCAATATTTCTAATTTTTGATGATGGGGCAAAATGCTTTCTTTTTAAAAATTTTAGGACAAAAAATGCTCCATAAAAAGTTTATGGTGCCAGGCGTCTTTGGAAAAAAGTTTTAGAGTATTTTTGCCCTTTAATCCTAAAAAAAAAATTTGCTTTTTGTTGATTCTGATTGTTTTCAAATGTTTAAATAAACATAAAAATATACCTTACAAAATGAAACTTTTTTTTAAATATTAAGTGATTTTTTTTATAAAATTAAGTTAAAACAAACGGGTCCTAGGCTGAAATGTAGAATTGGAGAGCCATATTATTAAAGATAAAACGACATATGTGAATCAATTATTGTGGTTGTGGGGAGAATAAACTTGAGATTGTGTGTGTATTAGATTTTCGGGTTGTCGTAAAAGGTTTCTATCCTAGAAGTCCTCTAATTAATTTGAAACCTTTATCTACTTGATTTTTAACTGAATTCTTTTGTATTTTCTGATATAATTTTCACTCTTATATTAGGCGTCAATCTAATAAGAGGTTAGATTCTCGTTGTTGTTTTGTTTATATATCTAATATTTTCTTGTTGTGGTTGTCATCTATGGTGACGGGATAATTTTTTTTAAAATGATAGGTGTCAATCTCTGTAGTAGTTAAAAGTTTTCGTTATTGATACCTTGCTAAAAGTATCTTTTTTTTAATGTTTGAAAGTTTGTGCCCGGAAATCGTGTGCAAGATCTGCCAAGTCTGGTGAGGATAAGGGATTTAGTTCACCTCATCTTGAGTTACAACATGAAGCTTGGCCATGAAAATCTTATGGTGGAATGGATCAATGGAGTTTCAGACTCAAGAGCCCAACAGGGTTCACAGGAAAGGCTTCGTCATTGTCAGTCTGAAAGTCCACTGAGACATGTGAAAGGGATTATCCCAGAGGACATAATAGAACAAATAATCAATGGGGGTAGCATCATCTTCAAACATGCGCCATCACCCATCCTTGGCTTATCTTATCGTCTTGCTGTTGCCCAACTGGTTCAATTTTTATCAGTTTTGTATCACCGATTTTATAGTACGCCTGTTGTGTGGTTCTCAACGAGAAATGATTTAGAAAAACAAACTGTTGTGGAAGACATCAAAGCAAATTTCCAAATTGGGAAGACATTTGAGACTCTCCAAACCATTTATCTCGATCGGCTTGATGAAGAGTTTCTTTTTTTTGATGTTTCAATGTGGACGACGGAGACTGATCGTGCAAGGCGTTGGAGAGAATATTACGAGTTTGAAGTTTTAGAGCTTCCAGGGCAATATAAAAGACACCGAAATTTGATTCTTCTAGTAGATGGGGATGGTGACAAAAGAGTAGACCTCCAAAGGGTGCATATTCCTCCGGATATAAGAGATTCTACAAATGCTTTTATAATCATAACAACAGGATCATCCATACTCCAAAATGCTGAATTGGCTTACGAGGTGGGTGTTAGAATCAAGACAGAGGATCATGTTCTGCCTTGGGTAAGTCTTTTGCAAGAATGTAGGCAGAGAGCTTGTATACTCATCAGGTGACATCCAGAGGGTTGCAGCGCAGATCGTTGAGGAGTGTGGTGGCCATCTTCATGACATTGTCTATGTAGCAGAGTTGTTGAAAGATGTGGAAGACGTTCAAATCTGGAACCAAGCATTGCGAAAGCTACATAATTGGATCCCATCCTGCGAAGGGATTGAACTTGAACATGTGAGTGATGTCTCCCCTCTTATTTACATAATATTTGAGACATTTTTCACATATTTTTTGAAAACGTTATTACATATTGCTTTATTTCTTATAAAACATAACAACTCTAATTATACTCTTATGAATTAAACGAAAAGAAAACTTTGAATTACCTTATCATTTGTACAAATATTTTCTTAAGTTAAAGAATAAAATTTTTAAAAAAATATTTTTGGAAAATATTATATAAATAAGTCCCAAGCAATAATAGTGAATGTATTTATCAACATCATCTCCACGGATATTATTCTTGGGATAAAAATTCACCTCACACTACGCTTATGACCTTCAAACTATGAGTTAAGATGAGTTTTTATTTAAAATTTTTTTTCAGTCAAATTAAATTTTATATATTTTTATTTGGGATGTTCCCTATAAGTAGCTCTTATGATTAACATCTTTATTTTTAAAAAATAAAATTAACTTATTTTGATTTGATAGTGAAAGAATTACTTAATTTTTGTCCTAACTAGAAAGTTAATTAAACTTTGAACAAAATGTGTATTTTCTTTAAAAGAGGACTATGACAGACATGATCAAGCTTATATACGTTGTAAGGCGATGGGATTTTTTTCATTTATGTAATAATAGGTGTCAATCTCAACAGTAGTTAAAAGTTTTCGTTATTGATATCTTCTACAATTCTGGCAAAAAAAAAAAAAAAAAAGATATCTTCTAAAAAGTATCTTTCATTAATGCTTGAAAGCTTGTGCTTGGAAATCGTGTGCAGGATCTGCCAAGCCTGGTGCGGATGAGGGATTTAGTTCTCTTAATCTTGAGTTGCCCCATGAAGCTTGGCTATGAACATTATATGTGGCGTTGGATCCAACGAGTTTCAAACTCAAGAGCCCAACAGGGTAACCTAGAAAGGCTCCGTCATTGTCTGTCTGAAAGGCCACTGAGACATGTGAAAGGGATTATACCAGAGGACATAACAGAACAAATAATGAATGGGGGTAGCATAATCTCCGAACATGTGCCACCACCCATCCTTGACTTATCTTATCGTCTTGCTGTTGACCAACTGGTTCAATCTTTACTAGATTCTTGTGACCACTTTCAGTGGAGAATGCCTGTTGTGTGGTTCCTAACGAGAAATGATTTAGAAAAACGAACTGTTGTGGAAGACATCAAAGCAAATTTCCAACTTGGGGAGACATTTGAGATTCTCCAAATCATTAATCTCGATTGGATCAATGAAAAGTTTCGATATTTTGAATATCCAAAGTGGACGGATGCGACTGCTCTTGTACAGCGTCGAAGAGATGGTTGGGATTTTGAAGTTCTAAAGCTTCCAGGGAAAGATAAAAGTCACAGAAAGTTTATGCTTCTAGTGGACGGGGATGGTGACGAAAGAGTAGATTTCCAAAAGGTGGATATTCCTTCGGATATAAGATATTCTAAAGATGCTGTTGTAATTATAACAACAGGATCATCCACACTCCAAAATGATAAATTGGCTTACAAGATGGATGCTATAATCAGGATAGAGGATCATGTTTTGCCTTGGGAAGTCTTCTGCAAGAATGTTGGCAAAGAGCTTGTATACTCATCAAGTGCCATCCAGAGAGTAGCAGTACAGATCGTTGAGGAGTGTGGTGGCCATCTTCTTGCCATTGTCTTCGCGGCAAAGTCGCTGAAACATGTGGAAGATGTTCAAATCTGGGAGCAAACTCTGCAAAAGTTACGGTATCGTAGCCCATCATACAAACTGATTGCATTTAAACATGTGAGTGAAGTATTAGTAAATGCATTCATCAACATCATATGGGAGGATGAAAGAGAAAAGCCTCGCCTTAACCAATGTTTAAATGCCTTCAAATTAAAAGCTAAGATGAGTAAAGGTGAATTGTTTGGCCGCTGGTTCTTTGAACAATTAATTGACAATGAAAAAGAGGCAGAGCATACCTTGAGGGAGCTTGTGGAGACTGCGATTTTACAAGAAATTGAAGATATTTTCGGACAATATATCCTATTGCCAGAAGAATTGAAAATTATTTTAGATGCGATGTCAGAGAAAGAATCACATGATAACTTGACAAGAGAACCATCGGGATTGACAGAGCCCCAAAAAATTTGGAATTCACAAAAAGCCGCCTCACAGTTTCTAAAAACTTTTCCTATTAGAAGCCTAAACTTATCCTACAGTGGCATACAAAGCTTACCTGGTTTTTTTCTTGAGTTGGATCAACTTCAAACATTGTCTTTGACAGGGTGTAAGCAATTCAATCAACTGCTCCCAGAAATTAATCAATTTCATCATATTAAGCAGCTTGATCTTGATGGGACTTCAATTATGGATCTTCCACATTCTCTAAATTGTCCTGGCTTGAGAAGATTATCGTTGGGAAACAACCTCAATTTGATGAAAATACCACTCAAATTTTTTGACCGCATGCCTCAACTCCAAACTCTCGACTTGTCCCTTACTAGCATACATGATCTTCCAGGATCATTTTATAATTTACAAGAACTTGAACACTTTTATTTGAGAGATTGTGAGCTTTTCCGAGAACTTTCTCCAAGTATTGGTCAACTTACAAATCTGATCGAGCTTGACCTTCATGGCACTCAAATTACACATTTGCCAGATGCCATTCGAAAGTTGATCAAGTTAAATACATTATCTCTCTCTTTTCTTGGATTTATTCATGGTAGTGGTCATGAGAATCAATCCATGCCATCCTCCAACTTTGCAACAAATCTCATCGAGCTTGATCTTGGCACTCAAATTACACTTTTGCCAGATGACATCGAAAAGTTGACCAAGTTAAATACATTATCTCTCTCTCGTCTTGGATTTCCTCATGGTAGTGGTCGTGAGAATCAATCCATGCCATCCCCCAACATTGCAATGATACCTTCTGATGCTCTATTGGGACTAAAAAATTTAGTGGAATTGTGCATTGATGTTAACTCAGATAATGAGTGGTGGCTCAAGAATGTTCAACGTGTCCTTACAGAAATTAATACATTAAGAGAGTTGAGAAAATTGGACATGTATATCCCAAGAGTAGTGGGAGTTAAATATCTTGAGCCTGTCTTACAAAAGCTTTCTTCTAATTTTAGATTCATTGTGGGCCATCATATGCCGAGAATAATATCACGGGTATTACCTGCTGTTGAAGAAAAGTTTGTAGCAAGTAATGGCAGCTTAAGATTTGTGAATGGTGAGGATTTTCCTAATGAAGTAATGCTCATTCTTTCTAAAGCATGGGCATTTTTTTTGGACCGCCACATGACCATCAAGAATCTATCCCAATTCAGGTGGAGCAATCTGAACCAGCTACGATTATGCATTTTGGCAGAGTGTAATAAATTGCAGAGCATTGTAGATGGAGATGAAGACTTAGAGTCCTCCTTTGGTGAGCTGCAATTCTTGACTATATTCTACATGAAAAGTCTAACAAGCATCATTAATAGGGAAACTCTTGGCAATTGCACTTTTTGTAAGCTAAAGTTCTTAGCATTGCACACTTGTACTGAGTTAACGACCATCTTCACCAAAGACGTGCTTTATAATTTTTCTCACTTGGAGGAGCTTATAGTTGAAGATTGTCCCAAAGTAAGGAGCATCATCACTTGCCAATCCTCAGGGGAGACAACAACATCTATCTTCCTGCCAAGATTGAGAAAGTTATCACTTCTCTTTGTACCTGAACTAGTTAGCATTTCAAGTGGGGTGAGTTTTGGGAGAAACTTAGAGAGGATAGGATTTTATTACTGTCCAAAACTCAAAAGCCTTTCCTCTAAGGAATTGTTTAGCCAAAAGTTGAAACATATCGTGGGAGAATCTGAATGGTGGGGTGCACTCAATTGGAGTGAGTGGGGACAACAAGAACCGCCTGATAAATTCAGTCACATCTTTTTCGCAATTGATGAGGACCTTGATATCTTGACTCAATTAACTACATATGAGGTGGAGGCTGTTGGGAGGACGAGACAGTGATTCAGGTGACTTTCTATTATCTTTGTTGGTATTATAAAATTTCCTTTATTTTATCAATATTAATAAGTTGTACAAGATTTTGTTTTTAAACTCGCTGCTACATCAACTAGTAGTAGCTTGTTAGAAGGAATATAATTTTTATTCAAAAATATATTTTGATTATAAAAAAGCCATTAAAAGATTATATCTTTGAAGATGAAAATATAAGATGAAGGGAGAGCTTCAACTTGCCATTTGAACCGTTGCATCTAGAGAAATTTTATAGGGAGAATTTTAGAGATTTACCATATATTGCATAATTATATCTTTTTTGATTGGATTAGAAGTTTCATATATAGCTAAAATGATATGAAGTATGGGGGATTCCATTAAAAGTTTGTATCTATTTTGATTTTATATTTTTTACTGAATATTTTGATTCTGTTAAAAGTTTTATATATAACTTGAAGGATTTTTCCTGTGTGTCATATATAACAAACTCTTATATTATTATTTTTTTTTCCCTTTAGAATTGGAACTGGAGGACTGATCTTCCCGGAGTCTAGAGATTTGAAGTTTGAGTTTGGATGCCCTCATTTATAAGGCTGAAGCCAAGCAAGGAAAAATGGTTTCGTTTACTCAGATTTATCACAAGATCTGCAGCATTGTTGTTGTTTGCTTTAAACTAGTTGCTTTGATTATTGGGTTTTGATACTGATTTATTGTGTGTATCTTGAAAGCATGAACCATTATACTACTTTCTATGTGGGATTGGATATACATGTGCATGATTGGGTTGCCCTTTATTTCATCACGAAGAAAACAATATTGTGTTCTGCTTCAACAGACGGAAATCAAGTTTATAATGAACCATTATACTATTTATGCGATTTTCATACTTTATAGGTAAACTGACCTTCATGCTATAAAAAATAGAATTATTTATCATAATATTACACTTTCAATAATGTTTACCTAGATATTATACATTAAAATTCAGTTTGATTGACAGTGAGTTTCAAATTTTTTTTTGTCAGAAACGTGTATAGAACTTGGCTTCTATTAAGTCAAATTTTATTTAATTTAAAAAAATAAATATCTATCTCATTATCTCACTCTTTAGCCATTTTTTTTGTTAGATGTATAATTTTGTTTCTGTCAAGCCAAGTTTTATTTAATTTTTTAAAAAATTAAATATATATTATCTTTTCTTTCTTCAATTGAGTCTGAGCAAAATTTAAATCATACAATTTTTATTTCAACATCATTAACTTCATTAAAGATTAAATAATTAATTGAAGTTTCTAGTCAATTGAAATTGAAATGTTAATGTTTAATATAATATTAGATGTTTGGATTAATCAAGTAAGTCACCATGAATTTCTAAAATCAACAAATGAGATGTTCTAAGTGATACTGAGTCATCTAGAGTTGGTAAACGGGCGGCCTAGCCCATCCTAAGTTACTCTATTTTACCATAAAATTGAAGCCCGGCTCGTAAGTCCGGATAAGAATAAAATAAAATAAAATAAAATTAATATTAAAATTTATTTAGAATATTTTAAAATTTAACATATATCAAACCAAAGTCTCACATAATTTAAAAAATGAATAAAAAATTTAAAAGTCTAAATAAGATGAAGACAACATCATCATCAATTCTAATCAAGATCTCCCTCGTTATCATCCATAAATAAAATATTAAAACCCTCAGATGTAAGTCTACTTGTGAAAGATGGAGGTGGAGGCTCAATATTAATTATTTCTGCAACTTCTTCATCATCACCTACACTAATTATTAATTAAATTATTTTATTATCAAATATATATCTTTACATATATCACAAGATAAAATATAAAAATCATCATAAATGGCACAAAACTATTCAACCAATTGTGGATACAAATTAATGTTTACACATTATCTGAAAAGAGGTGAAAACAATACTTTGTGAATAGTAAAACAAGCTCACGGGTCGCCCAGGCCCAAGCCCGTTTTTCTAGGGCTTAAAAGGGCTGGGCTTTGAAGCCTAGTTACCCCAAAAAATACTAAATTTTTAGGCTCGAATCCTTATTAAAACGGGTTTAAACGGGCGGCCCGTCAAGCCCGATCCTTATTCTTGACTCTAAAGTCATCATAGGTAAAAATAATAAAATTGCTAGCATATTTTAGGTTATGCCATGAGTGATACTAAATCACTGCGGATCGTTAAAGTTATTAATTGGGATATTATGAATGGACACTAAATTATTGTAACATCTCTAATTTTACTCCTCAAATCTAAATAACAAATTTATAATCAAATGAATTATGGAACAACACCAAATGATACAAAAGAAATAGCCAAATTTATATTGAAAAATTATCGTATAAATGCTAGTTATTAATATCATACAATTTTTGTTAAGATGAAAAGTATCATAGGTTTTTAGGATAAATATTTTCAATATGAATAATTACAAAAAATTATTTTTATTTTATTAGAAAGTGTTACGTTTATATATGAAAGGGTAGAAATTAAAAAATAAAAAACCTAATGTTATGATATTTTAGATATTAAGTATTGCTTAATATTTTATTTGAGAATTTTAAAAATATTGTATAATATTTATTGTATTTTTACACTGTATTTTGTAATACAAATCAATCTTTTTATTAACTACCTAAATTTCAGTAGTAGTCACGAAGAAGAGAGAGAGGCAGGGAGGGAGGGAGGGAAGGAAGTGACTGACGAAGAAGAGGGAGGGAAAGGAACAGGTAAAGAAAGACTAAGCGAGAGGGAGACGGAGTAGGGCATATTGTGACGAAGATAGAATTTTCATGAGGTTAAGATATTCTAGAAGTTTTCGGAACGATCCAGAACAATCAAGAACACCCCGGAGTCTTCTGGAATACGCCGGTATGTCCTCGAAAGACCTAGATATCTCTAGAGTAGTGTAGAAAACACTTGAAGCATCCAGACCATTCTAGAGATATCTTGCTCTTGTACATTCTAGTAGTCTCCTTGTAATTATCAAGATATTTCTTGTAGATATTTCTATAGAATTATCTAGAGATAGAATGTACACCGTTAGATCAAATCAATCCCAACCGTCCATTAAGGAGGTGGGAATTTTCTAGAGAAAGGGGAAGGCCTATAAATACCCCCTCATCCCTCATTTGTAACTCACTCAAGCTTAGTGTAAAAGCTCTTGAAGTTCATTCACTCAAGCTCTCTACTCTCTACTTGCGCATTTAGTTCTCTTAGCCTCTTTGCCTACTCGTGGGATTCGGCTGACTTAGTAAAGATCAAGAGAGGGATCAAGCTAAGGCCGGCACGGTTCAAGGGAAGGGAGTTCCAAGGCCGTGACAACGTGGTATCAGAGCCAAGGTTCGAGGGAGCCGTGGTTTCGATAGTGCTACTGGTAGGCAAGAATGTCTGGTGTGACTGAGGAGACTCTTGCTCACGACGAGGAGAGGGGAAGGGAATCCCAACCTCCACACCAAGGTGGCAAGAGGACACGAGGCTCCAGTAAGGTACGTTCAGAAGACCTTACTATACTCTCTATAAAAATTGATGCTCTAGATAAAGCAATGGAGGAAATGGTGGGTAGAGTAGCGAAAGTTGAGGATGATATACGTACGTTGGAAAACCACACTCTCAAAGAACTTGATGAGGTAAAGAGTAGTGTGGATACCTTGCAAAACTCTGATGATCAACGGGAGGATACCGTGAGGACCTTAGAAACAAAGGTGATGGATGCCATCACCATGATGCAACAACAGCTCGACACTCTTAAGACTTCCTTAGAAGAAAGAGGAAGAAGCCCACTATTGGATGGAAATAGTGGAGTAAGGGAAGTCAAGTTGGATCTTCCCAAACCCAAGGAATTCAAGGGGGTACAAGATGCCAAGGAAGTTGAGAACTTCTTATGGCAAATGGAACGTTATGCTGACACCTTAGGGATGATTGATGATCAAACTAAGGTACGTACCGCAGCCTATTTCCTTACAGACAATGCCATGCTATGGTGGTAAAGGAAACATGCAGACATGGACAAAGGGCTTTGCACAATCAATACTTGGGAGGACTTTAAGAAAGAGTTGAAGAGGCAATTCTATCTAGAGAATGTGGTCTACGAGGCACGGAAGAAATTGAGGGATCTCAAACATAAGACCACTATCTCTGACTACGTACGAGACTTCACTTCTTTAACACTTCAGATTCCTAATCTGAGTAGTGAAGAAGCTCTCTTCTATTTCATTGATGGTCTCCAGAACTGGAACAAGCACGAGCTACAGAGGCGTGACATGAAGACCGTTAATGAGGCAATTACAGTAGCCGAAAGTCTCACAGAGTACCATAAGGAAAAAGGTGAACCCTCTAAACCCAAGTCTTCCAAACCTAATTTTGGAAAAGGTGGGGGAGACAAGGGTAGGGGGATATCTAAAGGGGGTGATAGCAGGTTCCTATAGAAGAAACAACCTAAAGGACAGAAGAAGACCTTCAAGGAACAGACGGGATGCTTTGTGTGCAAAGGCCCTCATCGAATGAGAGAATGTCCGAAGCTAGGTACGTTGGCAGCCATAATGGAGAAGGCTGAAGAAGAAGAGCCTGAAGCGGAGATGGGATCTCTACGACTCCTCAATGCTTTAAAGGTCAAACCCTTGCCAAAGAATCCTAAAGGTGAGGGCTTGATGTACGTAGACGGGAAGTTGAATGGATCACCTGTCACCATAATGTGTGACACTGGAGCTACCCATAATTTTATCACTCCAGAAGAAGCCAAGAGAATAGGCCTCAAGGTGGTGCAGGAGGGAGGAAGTTTGAAGGCAGTTAACTCACCTCCTAAGCAACTATGTGGCATAGCACAAGGAGTTGAACTATGTTTGGGGAGCTGGAGTGGTAAGACAGACTTCTCCGTAGCTCCTATGGATGACTTCAAGGTCGTGCTGGGACTTAAGTTCTTCAGACAGGTAAACGCTTACCCCATGCCCTATTATAATTTACTTTGTATACTCGAGAAGGAAAACCCTTGCTTTGTGACTGCAAGAAGGGTGAGCGGTGGACACCAACTCTCGGCCTTGCAAGTCAAAAAGGGAATAAAGAAGGGAGAGGCTACGTACTTGGCAACACTGAAGGAGATTGACCTTGGGGACAAGGTCAAGGAAGAAGTCCCTCCCATAATTGCCCGTGTTCTGGTAGAGAACCAAGACATTATGCCTGCTGAGTTGCCCAAGAAGCTTCCACCATGTAGAGAAGTAGATCATGAGATCGAGTTAGAACCAGGAACTCGGCCACCAGCCATGGCGCCATATCGTATGGCACCACCTGAGTTGGAGGAATTGAGGAAGCAACCAAAGGAGTTGATCAACGCAGGTTTCATCCGACCATCAAAAGCACCTTTTGGGGCACCGGTCTTATTCCAAAAGAAGCAGGATGAGTCCTTGCGCCTATGCATCGACTACCGGACTCTCAACAAGGTAACTATTAAAAACAAATATCCTATTCCTTTGATAGTTGACTTGTTTGATCGCCTGGGAAAGGCAAAGTACTTCTCCAAATTGGATCTAAGGTCTGGGTATCATCAAGTTCGAATTGCTGAAGGAGATGAACCCAAGACCACCTGTGTGACACGATATGGGTCCTTCGAGTGGTTAGTTATGCCTTTTGGACTAACCAATGCACCAGCCACATTTTGCACTTTGATGAATAAGATCTTTTATCCTTATCTCGATCGGTTCGTGGTGGTGTACTTAGATGACATTGTTGTCTATAGTAACACACTGGAGGAACATGCTGAACACCTCCAGATTGTGTTCAAGACCCTTCGTGAAAATGAGCTTTATGTGAAGAAGGAAAATGCTCTTTTGCTATGGAGGAAGTCTCTTTCTTAGGACATGTCATCTCACATGGCTGCCTCAAGATGG